ATCCTTCACAATGCAGTTCACTGTAGATATGCAATCAGGCTGCAGGCTGCACAACAAAAGACATCCCGATGAAAAGATCAATGTTGCAAACATCCTGAGGGACAGTGTGAACAATAGAAAAGACCAAAGCCTCGAGAGAGCAGCGGCATTGAATCATCTCCAGGCGGCAATGTGTATGTCGACTACAATTCCGGATCACGTCCGATACCATACCAGCGTCGGAAAGAGTTTGGCACATGTAGCAAAAATCCACATTGGATGATTGCCCATACCATTGGTACAAGGACGTGACACCGGTTATCTGATTATCTGGAGAGCTGGATTTTATGTCTCGGCAGCTGAACAAGGATCACATTGGGGAATGGCCCAATGGCTGATAGGAAGAGGCATCTAGCAGCGATCAACAACTATTTAGCCAACATCCAAGCATGTGATCAAGACGACAGCAAGGAACCAGAATACTACACGTTTGAGAACAATGTCACTGGACCGCCTATAACATGAAAAATGTCTAATCATCCTGAACCACGATGGCTGACGAGGTTTGCACAAGTTGGTGGTAGCCATCTGTATGGTCGTACCGGCTTTTCAAGTGGGTTCACCGCTTTTCCTGGACTTCGACAAGGAGGACAAGCAGTACCGCCATGGGAGGCAACACTACAAGGTGGTGTGCCTGCCACGCAGCACCCACCGAATCAGCCATCAATGCCTTCTTCAAGCGCGAAACCACCACCACCAAAGCCACCGCCTGCAAACTATCCTCCTCCACCTACGACTGCATCGACCAGGAAGCCTACACCAGGAACATCTTCATCGGGAATCCCCAGGCCGACTGTATATGGACCAGTATATTTTGATGATCCATGGAACAATCATGATGATGTCTTCTTCGAGCCGCCTCCTACAAAGAATGCTCAAGCAACCTATGTAGCCACTCCAGCACAAGAAAAAGATCCATGGCAAGCATATGCAGCACCACCATCTACCCCCGCTCCGAAGCAACCACCTGGACCACCACCTGCCAAGGCCATGCCCAAGGCAGAAGGGACCACAGTGACCACGGAAGTAAAGAAAGTTCCAAAAACAATTGATCCGTCCACGGAAGTTTAAACCATTGTGATCGACGATGAGAAGGACGAATCTATATATTTGGTTCATTTCCAAGCCATCGGCAGGCATTGTCAAGTCCGTGATCACTGGCACAAGCTACACTGGCAGGGCGAAGTGGTGAAATACTATCCATCTACCTTGCAAGGACCACGAACCACCTATGTCACTCAAACATGGCAGACCTACTTGAGGCGTGTTGCATATCACATATCTACTCCTCTTAGAGTTTGCAAGAAGGAAGGTGAGATGGATGCCAATGTAGATTCACCAGACAGATGAGTATTGGACAAAGCTGTACCATGAGTCATTGGAACAGGGAAAGATGGAGCTGACTTCATGCTATCCAAATTCCAAACTTATGGTGATTCTCATGAAGCTCATTGAACTTGAAGATCTTGCACTCTTGCATATATAGGTTCAACGAACTGAGCTCCAAAATGGGCACTCACATCGACCAGAATCAGGAAGACCTCAAGGACATTGACGAGGCATTGTTTCTAATAGCTTCTTGTTATTACTAGTAAGGCACTTGTTACTAGAAGCGATGCACTTGTTCCTAATAGCTTCTTGTTTCTAATGGTGTTACCTACTTGTTCACCGACCTCGACTATGAGACAAAGAGTTTGAAGAGATCCTCCGGATCACAGCTGCACTCGTGGATGAAATGGGATACGTGACGTTGCGCTTGCTGAGCGCCGACCGGCCATATTTCGAAGCTCTGATGGTGAGGGCGAGAGAATTGTTTGCAAGTGTGAAAGGAAGTGAAGATGGTCGGTTGAGCATCGAAACTGGCGTTACTGTACACATTTGGCTTAGCAACAGATTCATGTTTCCAGGCAATTCAACTTCAATGATCCCGAGAGAGAATCATGAATCATGATGGCATGATGGAATCATTGCACATTTCACCAACATCGTGGCAGAGATTGCAGCGGCATCCCAAATACCTATTTTCGTGAACTTGTGTCCTTCTTCGAGATTCATAACAAAGAGCGTGGGGCTTGAACCATTCAGAGACATCTTTGCTTGCATGGCCACCAACTTGAGGAAAGTCGGAGCTATGGTCACCACGACATCAAGAGTATGGGATCATATGTTTGCAGTTCAAGGATCACCGTGGACATCGAAGAAAGGGAAGCATTACAATGCAATCTGGGCCGTCATGGAGAAGCAACTCACTAAGGAAAGGACGTCGATCCTGTGCTCAATGAACAATGCTGTAATCAAAGAACTCATTGACACAAGATCTACATTCCGGAAGATGTTTGTCAAAAGTACATTGGGGAGGACGTCCGCCGTTCCACGAACGTGGCTACTTCCGATGTTACACGGCTACTTCCGTTCCACGAACGTGGGTGGAAGAGTCTACGGCATTGGGCACACAATGTGAGATGGTCCGACATCCAGTTTGTGATGAAACTTCCTGAACCAGAACCTGATTTGCTAGAGTACTCGGTCCATGACAATCGAGCCACAATTTCTTCACCTATGACAAGACAATGATTCCTATTTTTGGTGCGCCTATGATGTGAACAGGTCACATTGTCTCAATTGCGGTTATGTGTACTGGGCCAATCAAGATCATGGAGGTGTAGCAGCAAATAAGGATAATCTCTGGACTGCAACTTCGAGAGTGAAAGCTTTCGTGGATGGACATCCTGCACTATGCAGCTTGCGCCCTCATGAAGACCTTTGGGGATTTCTTCTCACGGCAGCACGAGCATATGCTGATCAAGAACCGAAGTGAGTGTCAAGGGCCAAGGGAACATCACATCATGGTGGAATCAGACTGCACGAAAGATGGAGCACACGAAAGAACATCTCGGCAACTATTTGTATGTTCATCGAGTACTTGATGCGACCGGAGATGTCAGCTCTGGAGCCTGCATCGACTATGGGAACGTTGTGGAAAGGACCGAAGGGAGACAAAGGAAGAGGGCAGAAAGGAAAGGGCAAGAAAGGAAAGGGGAAAGCTCAACATCAGCCACGACCACCAGATACTACTTATCGCGGAGCTGGAGTTGGCGAGCACACCTACCTGGATGATGTGTATTGGCATCATGAAGACCATACACATCAAACTGCACCTATCCGCCCTCCTGAACAATATCCTGCTAATCAACGAGGAAAAAGTCATGGAAAAGAGCGTCATGAATGGTGGGAGCCTCCGGCAACCAGTGAATATGCTCGAAATGATCAGTATTACTGGCGCCAGCGGCAGTGAGCGTGGTGATATATGCATTTTGAAGTGTGTAGGTTGAGCCATACCTCTGCAAGGAGTTGATATTGGTTCCCTTGGTAAGAGTTGAGGCATTCCTCTTATTTCACACTTCCGCTAGTGATAATTCAATTCAATGAATGATCTATATAGTGTAGTCAAAGAGAGATGTGCAGATTTATATGTAAGGTCCGCTTTTATATATTCAACAGTGTTTGTAGTTAGCAGAAATTCATCCGCATATTATAGTTGTCAGCTATGCGGCAACAAGCTTTATACCTGTGCTCCGCAATTTTAAAGTGTGTTCGAACTAAAAGTAAGAAGACATGGGGGGTGCGAGTAGCACAGGAACGATATGCACACTGTATGTTCCGGCATCATGTATATTCTGTACATATGTCGCTTACACTTTGGCTCAAGACGATAAAAGAGGCGAGTGTCTCATGGTCGACCGACATGTTTGCCGACTCGCAGTATTCATTGCCGTAGCGTCCACTCCACAAGCCTTCAATTAGAAAGGTGTTGGTGCACCACTCTTGGCAACTCGTGAAAGGGGCACGTGCTACTAATACATGCTAATACTTGGATCAGCCAAGCTTACCCATACCACTTTGGGTTGTGGAATAGGCTCTTTCTTGAAGGAGGTTGACATAGCTTTAAACGACGGTTCCCAAAATCATTGTGCCAGGTTCTAGCGGGCTCAGCGTGATGCAGTTGCTTACTATGGGCCTGCATGTCCGTTCTGCAGGGTGCTGTTGATGTGGTTGACCTTCTCTGCTAGCTTCAAAGGAAAGATCGTCGTACTCACACCATCAAATCAGCCAGTCCCTGGCTGGGCTTGTGCTAAAAGCAAGCCGAAGCATTCCGCAACAGCCAAGGCGCAAGACCCAGCGCCAGGACTTTCCCCACCTTCGACTTGCCCATCGCCTGGTTGCAACCAAACTGTTTCTACACACCCTTGCAAGCTTCATTGGGCTTCCATGCCTGGGCTTGAGACTTTCAGGGGATCTTCATAGCCATTGCGATTGCGATTCGGAACTCGGTCCAGTTTTTGAATCAAAGCAGAGAGTGCTGGGCTTGGGTTGCTTGACTTACCAAGAACATACTACACAAAGAATGTGTTCCATGTTAAGTGCCTTGAGCGTGTCCGGACTTCAGCGTCTTGGCAAAAACATCAATTTGTTACTGGTTTCCTGTCTGATCTTGTCACTTGGCAGGTTGGGCCGAAAACCTGCAGAGCCAGAAAGTTCACATGTGCAATCTGTCCTTTCAAACATCCACTTCCAAATTACAAAACATATACACATAATATATTGTGTATAATGTGTGTGTGTACGTACGTATGTACGTACGTATGCATGCATGCATGCATGCATGCATGCATGCATGCATGCATGCATGCATG